CCAGGCTGGATTTGAACCCACCACCTTAGGTGTATGTGGCTGGCGCCTTAGCCGCTTGAGCCACAGGTGCCGAGCCTAGCTGCTCTTGAATAAAAATAAAGGACAGCTCTGAATCTTTGAAGACTGAAGGAAGAATACCAGCAGGGTACCATCATACAAACAGAGCAAAAATCCTGGCAGTAGGAAGGGGCTCTTGGATAACTGAGCTCATTCTCATTGCCTCTCAGCTTTGAGAATAGTTTTATGGAGAAAAATAAAGTGACTGAAATTAACCAAGTAGCAAATATGTAACAGTTACGGAAGCCTCAGTTGCTGGGGTTCAGCAGCATGAGGCTCTGCAGTCAGACGGTCCTTTGTTCAAGATAAGCTCCATGACCTTGGACCAATTACTCCGTATCTCTGAGTCTCTGTTTCTTCAACTATAAAATGTAGATAATACCTATCTCACAGAGAGATTCTGGGGATGACATGAGATAATCAATATTACAGCTACCACTGATGGACTGCATAGGGCACTGAGACGTAAAACGACGGTCACACCTCTGCTGGTGGGAATCAGTCCAAGAAACATATACTTAAGATACATATTTGAAAAGTAGTGGTTTGCCAGGGCATGCCAGAAGGAAGAACAGAGAGCGCCACTTTAGAAATACAAAGGCTAATACTCATCCAGCTGATGGGATCAGGAAAGGTTTTCGGGAGAAGACACCATACGAGAGGCTAGAGGTGCTGAGGATGGCATCTCACGCACCGAGAAGGAGATAAGCAAGACCCAGAAGACGGGGAGCTGTCCCACGCTGGAGGGACAGCAGAGGAATAGCCTGATTGGAGTGCAGGGTGCATTCACCTCTAACACGATGACTCTCCACACATTCTGCTCTTGTCCAGCTCAACTCCTTGAGAGCAAGACGGGTGCACATGTCTAATTTCTCCATCAACATTCTCTGCTCTATATCCTGGAATATCCGAAGCTAGCTTTGGCCTCTGTTCCGGATGCAATTCTTTTCACTGGAAGTTCCTGAGCTCCACTTTTTCATTTTTCTTTTATTCATTTTTATTTTTTATTAAATTTTAACTTTGTACATTGATGCATTCATGGGGTTCAAGTGCACTGCTTTGATATACAATGTGAAATGCTTACACTGAATTAAGTAACACATCCATCACAATTATACTCATTTCTTAATAGTTTTGAAATGTACCATTTCATCATGCACATTAGGTGAGGTCCCTCCAAATACCCTCCCTCCTCCCGTATCCCCCTTCTCTCCCCTCTGTCCTCTTCCCTTCTACTTTCTGGACTATAGCTATGTTTCACCATTCACCTGAGTGTGTAGGTGATTATATATTGATTTCATAGTAGTATTGAAAACATTGGATACTTTTTTCCATTCTTGAGATACTTTACTAAGAAGAACATGTTCCAGCTCCATCCAGGTAAACATAAAAGATGTAAGGTCTCCATTTTTCTTTATGGCTGCATAGTATTCCATGGTGTACATAGACCACAGTTTGTTGATCCATTCATGGGTCAATGGGCACTTGGGCTGTTTCTAGGTCTTGGCAATTATGAATTGGACTGCAATTCATTTTGGTGCAAATGTCCTTGCTGTAAAATAATTTTTGATCATCTGGGTATACACCTAGTAAAGGAATTGCAGGATCGAATAGGTAGGTCTACTTTTAGTTCCTTGAATGTTCTCCAAACTTCTTTCCAAAAAGGCCATATTAGCTTGCATTCCCACCAGCAGTGTAGAAGCGTTCCCTTCTCTCTGCATCCACACCAACATCTGTAGTTTGGGGATTTTGTGATGTGGCCTAATCTGACTGGAGTTAGATGATATCTCAAAGTGGTTTTGATTTGCATTTCTAGAGCTCCCCTTTTCCATCTAACACTACCATCCTTCATCATGACCCCCACAGCATCCTATGTTCTTTTCTAAAGATTGAAGTCCTAATCATAGTTTATAAATCCCTGAATGATTTGTCACCTGCCTCAACTCAATCTTCACTTTGTTTTAGCCTCACGCACCACCTGTGATCTGAAACATAGGCTTTCTTTCAATTCTTTGGGAAAAAATTCAGCAAACTTCCTCCCTCAACAGGCACTTTGAACAGCTGCTCACCAAGCTTTAACTTTCACACTCTGTACTCCTAGATGGGATGGCCAAGTCAGGCCTCTCTAACCAGGTGAGATGTGAACCAACCAAGGGAGCAAGCCATGTGGCTATATGAAGGAGGAATGCCCCCAACAGAAAGATGACACAAAAGCCCCAAGCTGAGTGCACTTGGGACACAGGAGAACAGTGACAGGCTTGTGTGGCTGGAGCAGAGAAAGGACAAGAGCAGCTGGAGATGAAATCAAAGGCAACAGAAAGCTAGATCATGTGGGGGCCCCCCAAGCCATAGAAAAGGGTTCTGGCTTTCACTCCCAGTGCGACAGGAGCTGCCAGAAGGTGTTAAAAGAGTAATATGATCTGACTTAGTTTTAAAAGACCTACTCTGGGTGCAAAGTACAGACTGTAGGGGGTAAGGAAGGAAGCAGGAAGACTAGAAGGAGAGTAAGGGCTATTTCAGACAAAAGGTGATGACAACCTTGAACATGGTGGAAAGAGTGGTGAAGGTAGTGAGAGGTAGTCAGACACCAGATGAATTTTGAAGATGGAACTGACAGTATTTGCCAATGAAGTGGATTTCTCCTCAAACATCTTATCTCTTCCTCAGATATTAGAGAGCATAAGAGGCCAGGTGTGGTGGCTCATGCCTGGAATCCTAGCATTCTGAGAGGCCTGAGCTCACGAGTTCAATACCAGTCTGAGCCAGGTCGAGACCCCATCTCTAAAAAGTAGCCAGGCATTGTGGCAGGTGCCTGTAATTCTAGTTACTTGGGAGGCTGAGGCAAGAGAATCACTTGAGCCCAAGAGTTTGAGGTTGCTATGAGATGTGACATCATGGCATTCTACCGAGGGTGACAAAGCGAGACTCTGTCTCAAAAAAAAAAAAAGAAAAGAAAAAGTAGAGAACATAAGCTGTGACGTCAGACTGCCTGGCTTCAAATCTTGGCTTTACCACTTACTGTGTGACCACTGGGCAAGTCATTTTTATTTATTTATTTATTTTAGAGGCTTACTTTGTCACCCTCGGTAGAGTGCCATTGCGTAACAGCTCACAGCAACTTCCAACTCCTGGGCTTAGGTGATTCTCTTGCCTCAGCCTCCCGAGTAGCTGGGACTACAAGCACTTGCCACAGTGCCCAGCTATTTTCTTGTTGCAGTTTGGCTGGGGCTGGGTTTGAACCCACCACCCTTGGTATATGGGGCTAGCGCCCTACCAGCTGAGCCACAGGAGCCGCCCCATGAGTCATTTTTGTGTGTGTTAGTCTCCTCCTTAGTAAAACAGAGAGAATAAACTAACTATTTCATAAAGTTGATATAGGGATTGAAGTATCTGTAAAGCACTTAGAACAGTGCCTGACATATAGGAGTACTATATAAGTGTTTATATAATGAATAAGCATTCATCAATCCCTAGTCTATGCTCTGGGTTTTAAGTATTAATATTTCCCTGGACTTTTCCTCCAGCACTTTGATAGTTTGCAGTTATATATCTCTTTTCTAAAAAAAAAAAAAACTTCTGGGCTCATTGCCTATATCTCAAGAGGCTAGGGTACCAGCCACATACACCAGAGCTGGCAGGTTTGAACCCAGCCTGGGCCTGCCAAAGAACAATAACTCCAACAACAACAAAACATAGTGGGGTGTTGTGGCGGGCACCTGTAGTCCCAGCCACTTGGGAGGCTGAGGCAAGAGAATCGCTTAAGCCCAAGAGTTTGAGGTTGCTGTGAGCTGTGACGCAATTGCACTCTACCAAGGGTGACATAGTGAGACTGTCTCAAAAAAAGAAAAACATTTTAAAAGGGAAAAATAACCTTCTGAGTTATTTCTGGAATTTTCTTTTATTAATTTTTAAATTTTTAATTATTATGGGTACAAAATAGTTGTATATCTTTATAGGGTACCTGTGATATAGGTATATAATGTGGATTAATCAAATCAGGATAACTGGACTATCCATCACCTTAGGCATTTACCATTGCTTTGTGCTGGGAACATTCCAACTCTTTTAGCTATTTTAAATCCATCCTAACCTGACAAGTATGATGCATGGGTAAATGGCACGCTTCCTGGGTGATGCACACAGCTACAACTCAGACTTTACAAATATAAATAATGTAAC